CACTCGCACATTTGAACCAAAAGGCACCACTTGATGATCAAATAATGATATAGACGTTCTTTTTATAATTTATTACAAAATAATATTTTGAAATAAAGATAATGCATGGAATATTTTTGTTTTTCTATTATTATAGTAGTATTCGACATGATCCATGGTGTTTCGAAACAACTGATGTAAAACACACAACGCACTGTAAAGTCGCAAACTAAAAAATATGTGAAATAGCATCTTTTATGTAGCTATGTAATGTAAATAAATGTGTACTATTTAAAAACTGTTTCGTATTTCATTGCCCCTATTCCTCATATCCCTTAGGGCTAAAAACTCAGAAAAAAATGAGATCAGTAATATTGTATTCCCCATAAGTTTCATGAACTTGCATATTTTATATGGTTAACTTGTGTCATCGGCATTTATAAACTACTACGTGAAAAAAAGGTTTATGATATATGTCAAACTCGGAATTCCAGGACTTGTCCTGTACCACGATACGTCTAATTAGTCACTTTTAGCGATAGTATCCATACAATTTGTTCATTTTGTCCATAATATTAGAGTACATTGGTACAGAGGAGGTGAATGACCTTTATTGCACGTTTATCCAAAATGGACTACGAAAAACAAAGTTCTTGTACCAAGATGGAACTATCACCAAAATGTAGCATAAGTTAAATGTAATTATTATATACCAACAATTTATTTTTAAAAGCTGGGAAAAGAAAGATAATCCTCTCTAAAATATGTCTTTATTTTTTTAGAACGCAGTTTAAATTATGTTATTTTTGAACGCATCTTATTAATAATGTCATTCCTAGAGAAGTCCCTCTCTTTTCAAAGAACAAGATCGATTTCATGTCTGACTAATCGAATTTGATACAAATCTTATATTAATTACTAACCATATAAATCCGTGAAAATTATAAAACTTAGATTAGATTACTAATATAATTAGATGTTACTTAGAGGAAAATATTTTATTAATAATGAAATTAAAAACAAATGATTATTCAAAAGAATCGATATTACAGTATTCAATCGATTGCGACCATCCTTTTTTTAGACAAGTATGTGTAGACGTGTTTCTACGCAGACCGATTTGTAACTTTGGCGGTGATTTTGTATTATCTTCTGTATTATTGGGAGCATACTAGGTTCCATGGGCAGTATAGAATTGAGGTCTGGAGAGAAATACCGGATTCTCTGGATTTATTAGAATTAGACTTAAATATAAATAAAGTCCTAATTATAAGGGGTAGAATTAAGTCGAGACATTGGGAGGAAACAATATTATGTGTACATTTAAAAAAATAATGACACATCCGGGTTAGATCGCATAAGAGAACACTGCTGTAATTGTCTTATTGGTCGATGTACACTGGAATGCTGTGCTCATATAATGACCATAGTTTGGTATCTTGGATGTGCCAGACACGAACAGAATGTAGCTGCTCCTGCAGCATTCTGTGATGAGGTATTCATTAGAGTTGTAATAAAGAAAAGAAAAATCAACATGTTGTTTTATTATATCCTTTTGAAATTGGTATTTTCACTACTACTTTATATAAGTTATAGTGTAAGATAGAAAAGTAGAGTTATTGAGAGCAATCTTAAAAAATCTATTATCTTTTGATGTTCATTGGTTCACAAAAAATGATTTTATTTCTTATAGTCAATAAAAATAATATATCAGATATGGAGCAAGTTTGAAGTATTAAGTGAAAGTATGCACTTCTAGGACTACGATTAGGCATTATCTGACGTGTGCTTTACATATTTCAACTGTAAAACCTCTAACTCAAAATGATACAGTTTAAATAATACGACATAACCTCAAAAACATATTACACAATTACTCGATACTCCCAGCTTTTAAAAATATATTTAATGTCTTTCTTTGTTCTAGTTGCATAGGCAAACAAAATAACATATGTTTCATCAAGTTACGTTTTATTCGATTTCACTAGTCCAAGCATGTTAGGCATGACAACTGCAGCAATGCTTCAAGTTTGGCATGACAACTGCAGCAAGTTTAAATCAAACTTTCTAATTTCAGTGTTACAAACTTGCACTACCTTTGACGTATCAAGGGTAGTGCAAGTGTACCTAAGAAAATAATTCTGCCCCGGGCTGTGAGCAGCCCGTGGCAACCAAGCGAAAGCTAGTTAGATAACATAAAATTTATACATTTCGTTTTTTTATCATTTAACCAGAGATTATTCACAGTTCATATAATCTGTGAGAGAGCATTGTTTACATCGTCAAAGTTATTTTTAGATCTATGAATATTAAATATTCAAGAAGTAACATCTACAAACAATAATATATCGCATAAAGTTTCGATAAACTAGACTTATACTAATTGTAAGACCCACAAAGGGCGTTAATATAATATCAGTCAGAATAGAAACAATATATCGATTTTCCGATATAAGTATCGTGCATCACTTTGTTTGTATGGTGATGTCAGGCAATGTAGGTAGACTATATTTCGGTACTTTTACTCGATACCATATAGGTTATGAAGTATCGATACCCGTTTGGTATCAAAGGTAAAGTATCGATACCTACTTGTATCAAACAGTGTTAAAATGCCTCACTATTGTCATTATTTATATAGATTTTTAAAGATTCGATACCATTCATAGCCATTAGGATACGGAATATGTCCGGAAGAATAATGAATGAATATACTTTATTGCCCATTAACACATAAACATGAAAACAATTATTATTAGAAACATCGATGCAAAAGGCAGCCTTATTGCTAAGGTAGCAATTTCTACCAGGCTACCCTTGACTAAAAGAAGCTATACCGATTGAGTAAAGAGACAGCAGGCAAGTGTATTAAAGAAAGATGAATGTGAAATTCATAAAAGTAAACACATATACTAATATTACAAAATATGTATATATACACAAAACAGAATACAATTTCAGGAAGATGAATCCAGCTTGAGGAAATGTTCCTTGACATATTTAACAAAGGACTCTCGTGATTGTGCGCGTCTGATATTTACCGGCAGTGAGTTCCACAGTTTAATAGCTCTGATTTACAACATTAACGACTTGGCTACAAAATCAGTTGTATGAGGAGGGATCACTAAGGAAAGGTTATGGGAAGACCTCAAATCTCGGACAGAATTAAAAAAGAGAAAAACGAAGCGATCTTTAAGATATTGCGGTGTTTGAGGATTAAAAAGAATAGAATAAAGAAGCGATAGGATGTGACAGTCTCTTTTACGAGAGATAGGTAGCCATTGAAGTTGGGTACGATAATCAGAGATATGGTCATACTTGCGTAGACCAAAGATGAAACGGATACATAAATTCTGAAGACGCTCAAGCTTATTTAGATGTATGACACTTAGGTCAGAATAACAGGAATCAGCATAGTCAAGCAGTGGGAGAAGCAGGGATTGCGCAAGAGTGATTTTTGTCTTAGTCGGCAACAGATTCTTCAGTCATTTGAGCGAGCTATATGCACCAAACACTTTCCTACTAACCTCACGAACGTGTTGGCTCCACGAAAAATTGCAGTCGAAAAACACACCAAGATTTTTAACGCTGTCTTGAAATGGTATACGATCGCCATTCAAGAGGATAGGTGGCAGCGTATTATAATTTATCCTGTCCAAATACCAATGGCTTCCAATAATTATTGTCTGAGATTTTTGTGGGTTAACTACCAGACCATGTCGTCGGCTCCATTCAGAAATATGCTGAAGATCAACGTTAGTGGTGGCAATTGCCTTTGACAGTCCCTCTATAGGTGCTTGTGTATAAATTTGGAAATCGTCTGCATACATATGATAGGAAGAAGAGAGAGGAAGAGTAATTTAATTAATGAAGATAGTTTAGGAACCGTTAGGTTGAATGTGTTGGTTTCCTACTTGATGATGGAGACAACTGGCCAGGGAGACTAAAGGATAATTGTCTCCCTCCGAGCTAGGTGTTGTTAGCCCGGGGACCGCGGTCCAACCGATGTAGGTTGGACGTTCTATTTATGCTAATTAGTAATGAAACTTATTCTGTGCGATGTAGGTTTCTTTGTTCTAAATGCCTTGTAGTTATTAATTTATGCTGCTTGTATTGGTACAGCGCCATCTCGTTACTTGCTGTTGAAACTTATTGCAGTTCGTCTTGCTATCGATGGCTGTGAAGATGCTAGTCTTCTCGCTATCGATTGTTGAGGCGATGTTAAGGCGATGAGTTAGATGTCGCTATGTATAAGTCGGCGCAATAGTGAAAAGGAGAGGAGACAAAACGCCACCCTACATAATACATGAATACGAAAGAAAAAAAAGTTGGTCTTGGCATAAAGAGATGCATATAGTAAGGTATTGCTTCAAAAAAATATATGTTGTAATATATGTATGTTGTCTTTACATAGATCTCGAACAACTTAAAATAAGTAGGGGTTAGCAGTATTTTATTAAATGACAGAGACGCCGCGCATGAGGGAGACTTAACTTTAGACATCTTGCCACAGCGTTTAAATGGGAATGAGTCTTTTGCACGCAAATTTTTTGACTCTCCCAGCTAGTAAACGACCGAATACCAAAGCAAATACTTAATTCACGTTACTAATTATTACTCGATGCAAAAGTATCGGTAACAATAATATATGGTATTTTTTGAGTAAGTACTTATTGTACTAGTTTTACACATCCCTAGACCGATGTCGTGTCAGAAAAAAAAAGCAAATAATGAGCTGTCATTTTTTCCTAAAATATTGTCGAAATACTTCAAAGGTTGTTTGTAAGAAATATGTAAAATATATAAAAGTCTCAATAAAAAAATCGTTTGCAACTCGCAAAAGTAAAACAGCGAACATTGAAAAACCAGTTTAAGAAGCTATCGTAAGAGTTGATTATTCTTCAGTATTTGCAAGCATAAAAAGCTCAGTTCGAACATAAGCCTTAAAATCACTTCTACGTTGAGTACAGTTTTATACTTAATATTTCTAAATAATCACTAAAACGGCTGGACGAAGCAATATGCGTCGAGCCCGCGACGGCTACGCATATCAACCAGTACCTAAAGCTCCCACAGATGACGTTTTCGAACATGAAAATGAAAGAATGGCAGAGGAACTCAGTGGTAAAATAAGTACGTTAAAACATATGACTATTGAAATTGGCAATGAAGTACGTTATCAAGACAAGATACTAAAAGGACTTGATGATGATGTGGACAGAAGTTCAGGATTCTTAGGCAAAACTATGGGAAGGGTACTAAAACTCGGCAAAGGGAACCACAACTACTATATTTTTTATTTGTTCTTATTCTCTATATTTGTATTCTTTCTGTTATACATTGTGTTGAAATTCAGGTGATTCAAATATTAATGTATTACAATATAATGTATTACAGTTTGCCCTTGTCAATACTATTTATTCAAGATCTTGTAAATAAAAAATAATATATACAATGCATTTTATTTCTATGTACACATATAAAAAAGAAAACTATAACACTGAGAAACTAACGGTAGTTATAATACACAATGAACTTCTCTTAAATTATTATAAAAATCATCTCCAGCTTCTTCATCTATAGATATTCTTAGTTTGCATTGAAGATTAGAAACTCTTGAACAATTCCGAACAGTATCAATGATGAATGCTACTATTCCACATGCTTTTTGTATTTCCTCCTTACAACAAAATTTTGTAATATCATCTAAAATAATTGTAGAAGGGATATTTTGCCATTCATGTAATGAAGATAAAATCCCCAATAATGAATTAATAGTTTTAGCATAAACAAAACTAATCATTTTCATATATTGTTTACTAATTAGACTGAAATCTTGTGATAACTGCGGCAGCTCTTGAATCTCTTCATATAGTATGAATAATACTTTGCCAAATTTGGCACAAGATAGTGCATCTTGAAAAAGTCTTATTCTATTAGTTGTGGAATCACCAAAATAAAAAATTATGTCTCGTCTCTCCATTATAATTATGCTTTGATTATTATCTGCATACTGCAATCAGTTTTATCTATAATTCGTAGGTATTCTTTGATTTGATTTGATATCGATTTAATCAGTGTTAGTTTCTTCTTCTTCTTTTTAATTAATGGCGTTGCCCTTGAGGATTTCGCCAGAATCCAGTTTCGCTCATATAAATTCATATTTTAGCACTGACAAAAGAAGATACTATGTATTTTAGTATTTTATAAACTCGGCATTTTGTATGTTGGTAGAGAATGAGGAAGTATTTAAAAAAAAACGAAAGCACTTAAAAAGCGCCTCCACTAGATGGCGACTCCACCAAAATTAAATTTTTGCAGGAAACGAATGGACCAAAGACAGTCTTTTCCGTTCCTATTAACTAACATATTAAAAAAATTGTAATTCGAAATCCACTAAAATAAGTAATATCAATTTTGCCGGTTCCATTTTATCCTTGTTCTAATCATTATTTACAGAATTATTTCGTCAGTTATTGAATTATCCAAAACTCATTATTGTTGTCTAATTAAAATAGAAGAAGCAGTTTTGTTTTGTCCATGGGACAGGACATGCTATGCAAACTTATAGAACTCGATTTTCTGTTTCTTAACATATCTATTACCACAGTGCCACATTAAAATAGAAATCGTGGTGTAGCCACAATTACTAAATGTGTTTGTAATTAGGCACCATTAATAAATCTTGTTTATTATTACTTGAAACTTAATTAAGAAGCTTTTTGATTTCTTATTATATTAAAATAATATCTGTTGTTACAGAATAATACAGTAATTATAGAATTTTCGTTAGAAATCTTTCTAATTTAAGTATCTTTTTACGTTATAACTATAAGTGTTTTATATGTCATACCATACACCTATAGTGCCAGTGCGGCCTGCAAAGTGTAAGTACTGTACGGTTGAAGGTGTGGTTCCCACTTGATGATGGAGCAAGGGAGACTAAAGGGTAATTGACTCTTTTGTCAGTTGTTTTCCGAGCTAGGTGTTGTTAGCCCGAAGATCGCGGTCCAACCGATGTACGTTGGACGTTCTATTTATGCTAATAGAGTATTTGACACTATCGAAAATAAGTTGCATTTTGTGGTCATACTGGTAGATAATAATCTAATAAAGCTTATTTCTTAACATCTGCAGAAAAAACATGTATAGATTTAGTAAAATAACGTAAAGAAAATGCAATATTTTTAGGAATTTATTCATCGACGAAAACGTCCTATGTTGGTAGAGAATGAGGAAGTATTTAATACGTCCAATTATACGACCAATTATACGTCCTATTTATAATTGGTCGTTGTCACAACCAATCACCATTCTGTTTACTGGCCTGTGACGTCATCAGCTGACATGTCAAAGTAGTGATAGAAAGATACATAAAATATCGATGCCTGTAGGTATCGAGTACTTTATAGTAATTTACTGATAAGTGATAACAGAATACTTTGCCCCTTCTGCTGATAAGAACTGCCAAAAAGGAATACAGAATGTAAGTATCATTTACTGAGGTTTTTAAAAAATCCAAGAAATAAGGAAAATACCAGAAATTAAAAAAAAAGAGCAACTTACATATTTTTCTCATTTCTTGAATGTCGATTTTGATGATATTGACTGTTCACCAAAGTTAAAAATTAATAAAAAAAATCATCGGGATCCGGATGTCTAATAATCAAGTGCTATGCATTTAGTGGACAGACATAATACATGCATGTATAAAAAAAATTGTACATTCTTTTTCGTACTAATATATCATCCATCTGTAAGACGACAGGCTATAAAGTGTGAGTCCTGTCAACAAATATAAATGAGTCGTAAAATGTTTATGATAACGACAAGAACGTGACAAAGTAAAAATCTCAATTTGTGATAAAACGCTCTTGAAAGTTTGAAATTCCTGTAACTTTTTAATAATTTTGTTTAGCCTATTCAGCTCAATACAACATAACTTCAAGGTTTTCGGTTTTTGGATCAAATTGCATTCAGACCTTTAAGTGAGTTATAAAATTTATTATGATTATTTATTTAAGAAAGGGTCCTCCTTGTTGCGTTATTCTTGTAAAAAAAAAATCCAGTATTGCAGAACAAACAGATATGTACCGATTTTCTTGAAAAAAAAAAATTGGATAAAAATCTAAACCTTTACAAGTTATGTCGTATTGTTACGTTTTTATTGATAATCTGTAATATATGTAAAGGTATGGAACATTTTAATTAAGACATGTTACTGTCGTAGAAATCTCTTTATTTTTGTATTTTGTTTTACAAAATGAGAGATATTTTAGCGAAGTTATTGTGTAACTTTCGCTGAAATACAAGTAATAATCGAAGTCAAAGTCAAAATAATCTTTATTCAAATAGACTTCTTAAAAGTACTTTTGAATCGTCCAACATTTTTTTCCCTACCACGCTTTCAGGATGTATTTTTGCCGAAAAGAAGAACGAGTAAGAAACTCACCAGCTCTAATAAGAGGTATCACATTTACAAAAACCATGTCATTACCAGATCAATACATTATAAACAGAAAGAGAAAAAAAACTATGGTCTTATAATTATAACATAATCATTTAATAATAATGAAAACAAGATAATGAGTTTAGAAGTAATCACCTATCCAGTTGCTGGATCATCTCAAGGCCAAGCGTTCTTATCTGTTATATAATCGGATACTTTATAATTAGTATTTTTTCTATAGCAGATTTTAACTGCATGAAATCTTATTGTTGTATTTTACTTGGAACCTTATTGTAGAAGCCCACACAAAGACCCTTGAATGAGTTATTAACTTTTTGCAGTCTAGTGACAGGCACAGTTAATTTATTTTTATTTCTTGTATTAAAATTGTGTACATCACTTTTTATAGAAGACAAAATAATATTTTTACGAACGTACTTTAAGTTCTCGTATATGTATTGAGAAGCAACAGTCATAATGTCTATTTCCTTAAATTTCTCCCTTAAAGAGTCCCTAATCCTAAGATTATAAATTGATCTAATTGCTCTTTTCTGAAGCACAAAAATTGTTTGTATGTCGGCAGCATTTCCCCACAATAGGATTCCGTACGACATTACACTATGAAAGTAACTGAAGTATACTAATCTGGCAGTATCTATGTCAGTTAACCTACGTATTTTCGTTACGGCATATGCTGCAGAGCTAAGTCTACTCGACAATTTATCAATATATGGGCCCCACTGTAGTTTAGAATCTAATGTTATTCCTAAAAATACCGTGGTATCCACAAGGCCCATGTTCTTATCTTTTATATTAACATTTATATCTACTTTTTTAACAATAGGTAGTACAAATTTTAGGCATTTTGTTTTTCCTTCATTAAGAAGAAGATTATTTACATTAAACCAATGTACTACTTTAGCGATAGAATTATTCAAATCGTCTTTAGAGGTAACCCTCTTCTAATTTTAAACAAAAGTGAAGTGTCATCCGCAAATAAAACTATTTCGTGATCATTCCTTACGAAATAAGGCAAGTTATTTATATAAATCAAAAACAAGAAAGGACCAAGTATTGAGCCCTGCGGCACACCCATCTTAACTTTCGACCCAGGGGATCTTTTGCCATCAACTATCTGTACTCTATCAGTCAAGTACGAGACAATAAAATCCAATGAGTTATCTCTAAATCCATAAAAATGAAGTTTACTAATCAATGTTTCATGAAAAACAAGCCTTAGATAGGTCACAGAAAACACCTAACGCATCATGTGAATCCTCCCAGGCATTAAAAATTTCTTGTATTAACTCGACACCGGCTTCGATTGTTGAGCGACCCCTTGTAAAACCAAATTGTTGTCGATTCATAAGCAAACTTGCCTTTAAAATAGACTCAGCGACATTGGAAGACGAATTCAAAGATTGTGTAATTAAGACTGGAATATCAGTAAATAAATTTATGTAGCTATTCGTTGTAAAAATGTATTGTTTTTTATCAAGAAAGTGTTAATTTGAGATAACCAACATTAGTACCAAACATTTTGTACTTTTATTAACAACTGTAACGGAACATCTCAAATTAATCAACAAAAATAATTGTTTATTTCAGCAACAACGGTACAATCCTCTGTAAACCATAGCATGCGATTACTATTTTTACTACAATAATGAGCCACATAAAAATGTCCCGTTATAGCTGCAAAAATAAATCACAAAAAAAAAAAACAAAAATTTGTATTTACCTTTTCAACAAAACCGTGACACCATGAGCTGTTACATTTTTGCCGCCATCAGGCACCACTTTCCTCTTCAAGCGAGCGGCGACAACTGACATGAACCGATCTTGCATTGAACTAAGGAGCGGAAAGAGATAGCGCTAAACCGATAGTCGCCATCCTTTTCCTTCATTACTCGGTCATTATCGGCGCTAGAAATATCGCGTTTTAGCAGCAAGTAGAGCGCGATGCGCCGAATTCTACTGTATTATTATTCAATAACGATACAAATTTGCGTTAACACGTTCTTGTCGTAAATATAGAAAAAAAACAAAATAGAACCTTCAAATGTATCGATATGAAATAAAAAAGTTTCAATACTTTAAGCGAATCCTTACCTAATTTTATCACCCATCTCTTCTCTATATAGCTACGATACTAAATACTAATCTATTGTGATTGTGAATCTATTTTCTTCTAGACTCGAAGTTTGTTTGTTATATATAGGAGTATTAGTACATTGTGGCACTACGCACCACTTGTAGCTCATTTTATAAAGAAAAGTAGAGGAAAATAAAAACGTAAAAAATACGCACTACATCTTCAATTTCTCTTCTAAATTAATATTTCAATTTACTATAAAGACAGTTGTCACTTATCGATTTGACATATTTACTGGCTTGTGACGTCACGATCAGCGCCATAAGATAGAGCAGCGTTTTTCGCGAGATTTTAACTATTAAATTTTAACAATTATTTTCACCGAAAATAGAAAATATTCCAATGAAATATGATGACAGTGTGTTTATAATGTAGCAAA